CAAACTCCTACGTCATGAAATTGCAGTAATTCCGAATACATTTATGGCCCCAGTTCCCATGTTATAACAGGAGACCTTGACATTGTCCATGACCGAGAGTTGAAATCATTCCTCAGTAAAGAACCTAAATATCGTCCCCCTTCATATTAATTGGAATGAGTTCCGTAACATCATCCACGACTCACTCCGTACTTACTGCACGAAATGGATAAAACGAGAAAAAGCTGACAAAAATCCTTAGATTCTTTTTTTAATTCAGTAATGAATATAGTTGATATTCGTATAAAACATTTTAAAGAACATTTTACTCCTAACAACAACCATAATAGCCCTATTTCTCGTATCAAACATAAGCTTAAAGAACTCGCCAAGGAATTTGTTTTTGTCCCGGCTGATAAGGCTGCCAATAATATCATTATTGTTTGACGTAAACTTTACATTGAGGTTCTGCAAAAGGAAATCACGAATTCACTAACATTCCAACTGACTCCATTTTCGGAAAATGACATCTGCAACAAACATAAACTTTTAGCTACCTCTTTACAAGCAGAACCTGATACAATGAAAGTTCCAACTATGTACTGGCTTCCGAAGCTGCACAAAACACCTTACAAATATAGATTTATTTCGTCTTCAAGCCATTTTTCCACTACTAAACTGTCTATTCTACTTACTAGTACACTTGGTACAATCAAAACCCTGGTAATGAATTTTTCAAATAAGGCCTTTGAAAATAATGGAATTAATTACTTTTGGCGTGTCAAAAATTTGTTGGAAGTACTGGATAAATTACAAGCTTATATTGGTGATTTCGAATCTGTTCAAAGTTTTGATTTTTCTACCCTATATACCACTTTGCCTCATAATCTCATTAAGAAAAATTCACACACCTATTTAAATGGACATTTAAAAAGTCAGAATGCGAATATATATTTTGTTCTGTCAAACTCTTTAAGGTAATTTTTTGGGAAGTTTGCTATAGCAATACTTTCCTTAGGCGTCGGCCTCAAACTTCCGGTGACAGCTAGACTATCGCAAATGTTCTGCTCCGAGATAATGTAGTACTAGTGTTTGAATACGGATTCTAGGACGATGCTTTTGAAATGTTTAGTCCTTTTGAAAAGATTACAGCTGGAATAAAAATGGAATGAGTGTTCACCGACAATTCGGGTGAATTTAACTTTATTTTGAAAATGAGTATCACAAAAACTACTTTGCGGATTTTCCATTCGCTGAAGAGAGAATCAAAAGAAATCTACGCGAGACATCGTTTCATTCATGAATATTTCATGAATGAACATTTTCCCGCGTAATTTTTTACTATGTACGATATTTACGAATGTTTATTATTAAATATAAAGTTAAAGCCCGAGAGTTCCGAAAGACTCCCGTTTTCATGACTGACATTACTGAATGCAACTTGTTTATATTTTGACAAAGCCGTCGGATAATTGACAAGTGATAAAAGTTTGATTGAACAATTATACACAGGTGACAGAAATACTCGATAATCATATGACTTATATCACACGCCAAGGACGAGTAAAGGTAAATACCGACTATAAAACATCGATCGGAAGGTTTTGATGCCAAAAACATTTGAAAACTTTTAAATTCCGCTATTTAAATACTAGCTATTTCACATTTCAATGTGGATTTAAGGACATTCACTCGTCCAGCATGCTCAGTCACGTGGATCAAACTGACAGCTGAAAAACATTGACTCAACGACAGTTCGTACATATCACAGACTCCTCAGTGTTACGATTAACAATTACATTTGTACACAAATCGTTACAAGGATAAGGCAGACAAGTTAGCGTCTACTTAGAATAACTCAGTGAATCAAGACAAGTGCTGAAGCAATTATTTACATAAATTAAATAAAATCTGTCCATGTAATAGCAAAATGACTTTCTTACTCTTAGTGCTAGTCCAAATAATTATGACGAACCAAAAATCTCAAATGTTATTGCCTCAATGCTAAATTTCACAGCATCAACTGTAAAATGTGTTACAGGGTTATAAGCACCTCTATGAATCTAGTGCATATAAACTTTTTATTCCTGTCGTCATACTGCTATTGTTATGTCCCCACCATATTAAGTTTTACCCTTTTCTTCTGTAAGTATGTATGTCCTTTACTTGTACATACGTCCGTACATCCAAAAATTGATTTCTGGTCTCTAACTTTTAGTTTTCCTGAACCAAATTGTATGAAACTTATAATAAATGCTTATTTCCACAAAACACAGGTCAAGTTGAATTTTGTTGGCGTCTATTTTACAATTCTAGAGTTATGGTCCTTAACAAATTGGTTTCTGTTCTCTAACTTTAGTTTTCCTAAACCAAATTGTATGAAACTTATAGGCAATACTTCATTCCACAAAACACAGGTCAAGTTGAACTTTGGTGGCGTCGATTTTACAATTCTATGAGTTATGCTCCTTAACAAATGGAAAAGTTGCTTGAATATTTTTGTTTACGATCTCTAACTTTAGTTTGTCTCAACCAAATGTTATAAAACTTATACACATTGCTCATTGTCACAAAATACTGATTAAATTTGAGTTATGGTTGTGTCAGTTTTACTGTTCTAGAGTTATGCCCCTTTATAAATTCAAAAATTGTGTGATTGTTGTCGAGCCAACGACTTTTGTCGAAAAAGCGAGACATAGCGATCCTACATTTTGTCTGCGGCGTCCACAAATATTCACTCTTTGGTTAAAGTTTTTGAAATTTTAATAACTTTCTTCAACTATCCTGGATTTCTACCAAACTTGGACAGAAGCTTGTTTATGATCATATGATACATAGTATCCAGAAGTAAATTTTGTAAAAAAAAATCCATTTTATCAGTATTTTACTTATAAATGGCCATGGACTTAGTTTTCTGCCAGGAAACATAACCATGATAACATTCACTCTGTGGTTAAAATTTTTAAAATTTTAATAACTTTCTTAAACTATCCTGGATTTGTACCAAACTTGGACAGAAACTTGTTTATGATAAAAAGCTAGTATCTGGAAGGAGATTTAGTTTAAATTTTTGTTCTTGTTTTTCCGTATTTTACTTATTAATGGATTTAGATTCATAAACTATCCTGGATTTTTACCAAACTTGGACAGATGCTTCTTACAATTAAAAGATAGTATAGAGAGGAATATTGTTTTTAATTTTTTTCCTCATTTTTGTTGATTATCAGCAAAAGTAGGCGATATACCGGGTTCCGCAGACCACTTACGATTTGTTCCGTGCTCTAACTTCAGTTTGCCTCAACCAAATGTTACGAAACTTATAAACAATACTTTTAACCACAAAACCAAGATCAAGTTTGAATTTTGGTGCCGTCATTTTACTGTTATGGTTAGGGTTATGCCCAGTTACAAATGGAAAAAAATCTATAAAATCACAGGCCCTAGATATGGCATGGGGATATAAAGAAATTAACAGAGCTTATTGTATATTTGATTATTTTAGAACAACAGTTTAAGATTGCAATAGAAAATATCAAAATTTTATATGACAAACATATGAAAAAAGTGATTTTTGATAATTGCTAAAAAGAAAATGGTTTATTAGTTAAAAACATCAAAGCTGTGATAAAATACATATTTGAAATAATACACATCTATAACCTATTTGAAATAATAAACATCTACAGTTGCAAACTTCCCTGAGGTGCTATCCAGCACTTTGATTAGTAACAACAAACAAAAGAACTATGTCAATTGGACATGCTTTGATACGATAACTGCACTTGAATTTTTACTAGATAACATTTTTGTTCGCTATGGGGATTCCGTATATCGCCAAGTTATCGGAATTCCAATGGGGACTAACTGTGCACCACTTATTGCGGACCTGTTTCTGTATTGTTATGAGTTACAATTTATGACTAAAATCAGCAAAGACCCATCGAAACAACATCTGATTCAAAAATTTAATAACACTTTTAGATATTTAGATTATATATTGGCTCTCAATAATGACGACTTCAGTATGTACACTAAAGAGATTTATCCTGCCGAACTGACTTTAAATAAATTAATATTGATTCACTCATAGGGTCTTTGCATCGGAAATAAACACATTTATTCTTAAACCAGTTGATGCATGATACGGGTTACGTTCTTCTCATATATTTTATGATGATACGATACTAAACCTCTAACGGGAGGGATTGTGCTTGATTTTCATATGATGAAGAAGTAATCTTTCAATCAGTTTAATTTAGATCTGGAGCTGGCATGGGACTAACTGCTAGTAGTCCTTTGTTAATTTATGTATCATTGTCATTTTGCTTTGTTTCTTTTGTTACCTATTCTGACATCGGACTCGGACTTCTTTCAAACTGAGTTTTACTGTGCGTATTGCTGAGTGTTTGTTTATTCTACATTGACTAGAGGTATAGGGGGAGGATTGAAATCTCACAAAACAAGTTTAACACCGCCGCATTTTTGCGCCCGTCCCAAGTCAGGAGCCTCTGGCCTTCGTTGGTTTTGTATGTTTTTTTTATTTTAGTTCATTTATATGTTTCGGAGTTTATTGTGACGTCCATTTTCACTGAACTAATATATTTTTGTTTAGGGGCCAGCTGAAGCCCGCCTCCGGGTGCGGGATTTTCGCGCTGTGTTGAAGACCCATTGGTGGCCTTGGGTTGTTTTCTGCTCTTTGACACATTCCCCATTTCCATTCTCAATTTTATGTGGAGTATTTACAGTATATTAATTTTCTTCAGTGTGTTACCTTTACTAATTGACCCTTTATAGGGCATCGTGTTTAATGAATTGTGAAAAAGAGGTGAAAACAAAAATTTGGCATTTAATTTTGACACATACTCTTTGGGTTTTTTGTTTGATTAAATATTCACAAAAATACTAATATTTTTTTTAATAGTTTTGCTATTAAAAGGATGATGATAATAATATGATATGTATATAATTTTCCATCTGTGTGTATACTACCAAAGGTGTTATATGAGTCTAATATAAAGAAATATGTTTATATTGTTTTATTAGAGATTTTGTCAAAGATGATTCCCTATTGACAAATCAATGCCAAAACAAGAATGACAACACTTGGGAACAGTTTATTCTGTCCGCTTACAACTGGTGAAAACCCATGCATACAGATTCGGCCGTCTATATCTTGAAGTTGTCCTGATCCAAAACCTAGTCCTGCTGCCGAAAATGCCTTCAGAAGACCCGATGTCTCGTTATGAACGTTTGTGTTGGTAACATTGAAGCAGATTGTTTGACCACTTGCTGTACAGTATTGAAACTTTATGGTCACATTTGTTGTCCCTGAAAAAAAGAATTTCATTTTGTATAGCTGATAGAAATTTCGACACCGATAATTAATTTAGAATAGCATTTAATGTATTTCGATCCAGTACTAGAACAGAAAGTGCCTCTTCGAATTTGTGATTTTTTTTAATTCATGTTTTTAACTATTTTTAATCGAAAATTTGACTATGGGAATCAATCTGAAATACCGTGATATATCTATATATAAATTGTTGTTAAAATCCGAGCACATAAAGATGAAAACCATAATATGTTCATTTTTAAAGAAAAAAATAAGTTTTGACCATATTTCCCCAAAATTTTCACATACCGCAAATTTGAAATATCCGGAATCAATCATCATTTTCCATTGAAATTCTAGCTCAAAAAGACATTTCTCAAAACTTGCGAATTTTTTTAACCAAAGAAAATGATTTTTTACAAAAATGTTTTCCCCTTTTTAGATAAAAAAACATCCACAAAGATCTTTCTCTCATAGATCTATATATATATCAATATTGTTCATAAACATTTTTAATATCAGATGAGGCATTTTTAACTTACAATAACGACATAAAATGTTGCCAGACGGCCGGACATTCAGTAATTGCTAAAGGGCACCACATACTTGTGAGCCTCCTCATGGGGTTTTTGATTATGTGATTACTTGGTCGTTTTTATAGTGATTATTTGATTACCAGACCAAATATTTCATGATTATTTGATAATCTAGGACAGTATTTTTGATTATTTGATTATCTTATTTAAAAAATAATTAATGATTATGTGATTATATTGGCAAAACAATTGTGATTATTTGATTACTTGGACACCCCCATGAGGGGCCTCACTTGTCGGCATGGTAAATTATTATACAAAAATGAACAGGAATAGTCATGGAAGTCCAGTCTTTTGCTGTACCAATTACACAATGAATTTTCATACAATTGAAAAATGATTTGAACACTTTCAATAAGTTGCACAATAAATGACACCGGATCTTTCACGATCCTTTTCATGATCCATATTGCAAACAAGTGGTATCCGATCTTTCACGATTATAAATATAAAATTTATACAGATATTCTAATTTTAACCCACTTTCAGATTAAGCTACTTTCAAATAATTGAGAGCCATATGAAACATTGATATAGAATGAAATTGTTAAAAAAATTAGTAATTAAGTCATTCATATAAGGAAAAATAATGTTTGTTTACATTTTTGTGTCATTGAAATGTTGAAGACAAATTTACCTTTTGTATTTATGTTAAAACGGTGATATTTTAAACTCTGATTTTCTAAGACACTGATCACTTGTTTACTAAAACTTTACAATACAGTTTTTGCATCAGGTATTTATCCGACAAAATGGTCGGAGAGTTTTATATGTCTAATTTTCAAATCAGAGGATCCCAAGAAACCTGAAAATTACAGAGGAATAGCTATAAATAAAAGTATTGGTAATCTTTTTAACTTAATACTTTACAATAGACTTGTTCAATTTCTTTAAGATAATAATATCATACATTTCTCAAAGGGATCACGTTCTTGTTCTCATATGTATAATAGATAAATATCTAAAATCGGGTGACAAAAGGTTGTATGCATGCTTTGTAGACTTTCGCAAAGCATTTGACAAAGTTATTCATGTTGGTGTAATATACAAATTACAAATGTATGATGTTATTGGTTATTTTTATAGAATTTTGAAATCAATGTATGCAAATGACAGACTGTGTGTAAGGGTTGATGATAAAATGACAGAGTTTTTCACATCTGAGGTCGGAGTAAGACAAGGCGATGTTCTAAGCCCTAGTCTTTTTAAGATATTTCTAAATGATCACCCCACCATCATTGCTCATAAACAGATTCAGTCACTTTAGATGGCCAGAAGATTTCTTGCCTTTTATATGCAGATGATCTATTATTATTTTCAGACACTCTATAGAATGTGTCAAACAATATAAGAATTTAGGGCTTATAATTGAAAACACTGGAAAGTTTAATGAAGCCAAAAACAACTGTTTCAAAAGGGAACGAAAGCAAGTTTCAAATTATATAAAGATGTGAAATCTTCAGATCCATCTATTAAAACCCTTTTACATATTTTTGATCATTGCATTCAACCCATTGTATTGTATGGTTGTGAGAACTGGGGAGTTATTAACATTACTCAAAAAAGAAAAAAATCTTTCTTTATTTGGTATTTTCAAAGATTGGGAAATGGAAAAGCTTAACTTTAAATTCTGTAAACACATTCTGTGTGTTACTAAACTCTGTACAAACATAGCAGTCCTTTCAGAACTTGGGAGATATCCATTATATTTAGATTTGTTAAAACAAATATTTTTGTACTGGTATAGACTTGAGCACTCCCCATCTGATATGTTTAGCAGAGCCTATAATGAATATAAATCTAGGAATAACCATTCAAATAAGTAATGGTATTCATATATACTGTTTTACAGTAAAAAACTGGATATTAACCTATCTATCTGCAAAAAACTTAGTAAAATAAATTTAAATTGTATTTGGAAAAATGTCTCCAGAAGAACTTTCTTAAGACATGGCTAGACATAAAAAATAGCTATTCAAAAGATACTGGAAAACTCAGCACATATTTTAAATTCAAATTTGCTTTCAATTACGAAAGTTACTTAAATATAAAAAACTTAAACAGCAGAAGAACCTTAACAAAATTTAGACTGAGTAACCACAGTTTGAGAATAGAAACTGGGAGACATGAACGAAAACTAAATACAATTTCAGGAAAACTTGAAATTTTGTCCAGATGTGAAAGGCTCTGTCAATACTGTTCACTTAATTTGATAGAAAATGAGCTTCATTTTGTTTTAGAGTGCCCTCTATGTAGCTCACCAAGATTAGAATTCTCACAAAATTTATTTCAAAAGTTTCCAAATCTGAAAAACATAAATTTAGAAAATCTCTTTATCTGGATAATGACAAATGAAGGTTTAGTTTTCAGATTTTATTTTGTACTTAAATAAAAAATTTCCAGATCAGACAGGAAAAAAGAGACAAAAGTTAAGATAAACAAGTGGAGTTATTCCTCTTTGTACTGGCTCTCTCCCATTATGTACACATTTTTATTATCATGTTTCCATATTTGTTCTAAATCATATTTAATCATTAACAATCAGCATGTTTGTGAGATTGCATGTGTTGTTTTTGTGGATATTGTATGAACATTGTGATTTATGTTGATTTATATGCTCTTTATGGGCCCTATGATTAGGAATAAAGATATTTGAATTTGAATTTGAATTTGAATAATGTTGAACCAATGTTGAACCATTTTGACACTGCAAAATCAAATAGATCTTTTGCAAAAAATGAGCAATCATCCCAAAATTTTCGAGGACTTGAAACTCATTGTAAGTAATTAACTCATTGAAAGTAATTACATAAATTGCCTTTTAGATTCAGCTTCATACTTTTCTTTATAAAATATTGATTTACCCCCCCCTCAAGAAAATAATAATTTTGCGACCATAGATTTTCTTAACCTCCTTCACCTTCATACTAACATTCGAGACCAGGCTATGTAAAACATTATTTATTTGAACAATATTAACGTTCCAGTGTATACAAACGAGATCGAAAGAAAAATTACATCACGTGTTAAAATAGTGAACACTTGTCGGAATACAATTAAGTAAGATTGAGACAAAAGGATAGGATGTAATTATACAACTACCCACTGTTATCTCTAATAATGTTGATTTAACAAGATTTTTTAAGTGAAATAAAATGGTCGTCAAAAGGTACCGCCATAAGTACCTTATCATACCACTTAGGTAAAAAGGGGGTGTTTTTTCTTAAGGAAAATCTTAACGAAAGTAGCTTTATGCAAAACCTGATGATTTAAACACGAACTGTTACCTGCATCAAATTTCCTTAAAAAGGTTAGAAATAACATGCTCATGACGTTAATTCAATTGTATAATTATCAATTGTCGAAGTTTGACACACGGATGTCAGTGCATAATCAGCGGAGTTTTAATTTTAGCAATATCTAAATTACGATTTACGACAACATTTTGAAATGGAAATAACGAATACGAAAGAATAAAAAGCAATAAATATTGTTTTCTTTTAATTAATTATCGTTTCATTTAAAAAATGGTCCTTTTAGGGATCTCTTGTAAACATGTTCCTTTCCCCCCTCACTCTTTAATAGTAATGGGGATATTTTCCAATCTATAATTGAATGACATAGACATGGTTGACCAAGGTGAACTTTCTTTTGTTACTAGGATTGTATCAGAGTTGATAAATTCACCCGAAAAAAGGTAAGACAAACATAGTAGTGTAAACAATGTGGTGTACAATTCAGTGCAAACAAGGGGGGGGGGGGGGGGGGGGGGGGGGGCAAATCCACAACATGATCCTGTACCCAAGTGCCTTGTGCCTTTGGGAATTAGTACACTTCCATAAAAGCTTTACTGTTACAATTAAAGGATACAACTGAAAAAATAATCGGGATAAAGTGGACTTTTGACCTCAAATTAAAAAAAAAAAATTCAAAGTCAATAAAATTTCACATATTTTAAAGCATGAACAATCTACATTTTTAACCTGTGCTACTTGTAATATAAATACATGCAAACGTAACTAATATACTTAAGTGTTTCGTGTAATCATAAAATTAATTAATCCCTGCGCAAATGTAAATAACCTCTTAACCAACCATTTTGATTTCCAATGGAAACATTCCCATCGAATTCTGCGCATCCAAAGGCTGTACCATTACACGGTGTCGGTTGCGCAGAAGAACATGATGGTACTTTGTCTGTTGAATTCATCGGTGTTGTATGTATTATACCAGCGCACTGTTTACACTGTCTCGCTGAAATGGGAAAAAAATTTAAAAAAATTAGGTCTGATTTTTTTATATTTGCATCACACAATGAATTTAGTTGCTGTGTGTTTTTTTTTTAATTTTATTTTGCAAAGAACTAATTTTGATTATTGCTTCTCTGAAAGGACTGTTTAAACTATGCATGTCTTGCAATGCATTCCGATAAAATTGCAGGACATGGCTGCCCTTGTGAATCAATTAGTAATTTTTTATTCCGTTTGGGATACCAAAACAGTAACAATATGCGTTATCAACATTCACATTAATTTCATTCCAGTTTACAAATCTTATAATTCTCTATGATATGGTACCATGAAAAGTTCTAGTAGTATTTTCAAGAATGCATCTGGAAAATGAAAAAAGAAAAAAACATCGCTTCTGAAACAAGAGGCTCTCAAGAGCCCGAATCGCTCACCTGTAATTTTTTGCTTAAATCTTTCATCAATGATTATTTTTGCTTTTTAATATATATTAATGATTGGCTTAAAAATTTGTATTTGTCATATTTTCTTCAAAAGCTAAGAAATACATTTTACCCCTATGTTCCATTTTAGCCATAGTGGCTATGTTTCTTGACGTACAAAAAAATAAAATACAAAATTTATACTAGATACTCTGAAACTCATTCAGCCCAAGTTTGGCTGAAATTGATTCAGCAGTTTCAAAGGAGAAGATTTTTTAAAGTAAGCAAACTAGATGAACAAATTGTGAAAAATTGTTTTTAAAGGGCAATAACTCCTTAAGGACACATTTGACAATTTTGGTCATATTAACTTATTTGTAGATCTTACTTTCAGTTGCTGAACATTTTTGCTGTTCACAGTTTATCTTAATCATTAATAATATTCAAGATAATAATCAAAAACTGCAAAATTCCTTAAAATTACCAATTTAGTGGCAGCAAGTTGCCAACCCAACAATGGACTGTTAGATTCGTCTGAAAATTTCATGGCTGATAGAACTTGCCCTAATGAACATTTTAACCTCTCATCAGATTTGCTCTAATTGCTTAAGTGTTTGAGATATATTAGCCAAAAACTGCATTTTACCCCTATGTTCTAATTTTAGCCATGGCGGCCATGTTTTTTGACGAAACAAAAAATAAAACACAATCTTTATTCTAGATACCCTAAGGATCATTCAGCTTAAGTTTGGTTGGAATTGGTTCCGTGAGTAGTTTCAGAGGAGAAGATTTTTTAAAGTTAGAAAACATGATAAACAAATTGTGTAAAATTGTCCTCAAAGGGCAATAGTCCTTAAGGGGTCAATTGACAATTTTGGTCATATAAACTTACTTGTAGATCTTACTTTGCTGAACATATTTGCTGTTTACAGTTTATCTTGATCATTCATACTATTCAAGATAATAACCAAAAACTGCAAAATTTCCTTAAAATTACATATTTAGTGGCAGCAACCCAACAATGGGTTATTAGATTCATGTGAAAATTTCAGGGCTGATAGAACTTTACCTCACGAACAAGTATACCCCATGTCAGATTTGCTCTAACTGCTTTGGTTTTTGAGATATAAACCAAAAACTGCATTTTACCCCAATGTTCTATTTTTAGCCATGGCGGCCTTTGTTTTTGACGAAACAGAAAATTAAACACAAAGTTTATTCTAGATACCAAAGGGATCATTCAGCTTAAGTTTGGTTGGAATTGGTTTAGTAGTTTAAGAGAAGAAGATGTTTGAAATAGTTTACACCAGACGGACGACGACGACGGACGCCACGTGATGGCTAAAGCTCACAGTTCCTTCGGAACGGTGAGCTAAAAAGAGAGGGGCGAAAGATACCAGAGGGACAGTCAAACTCACAGATCGAAAACAAACCGACAACGCCATGGCCAAAAAATTAAAAGACAAACAGACAAATAATAGTACACAAGACACAACATAGAAAACTAAAGACTTAGCAACACGAACCCCACCAAAAACGGGTGATCTCAGGTGCTCCGGAAGGGTAAGCAGATCCTGCTCCACATGTGGTACCCGTCGTGTTGCTCATTTTATTACAAATCCGGTAAATAGTCTAATTCGGTAGGTCACATTCGTGGTGAAAAAGGAAGTGGATTGTAATTACGACATTAGGAACATATCCGATATCATCTGTGAAAATTGCTCCAAAAAACAAGGAAAATCCAGATAGTTATAAGACAAAACTTATAATAATATTCTAATTCAAGTTGTTGTATGATATAATATTTTTCTGAATAGAGACTAATTTTTGCATAAACTCTAAAGAAATGTATGCGCTTAGTAACTTGTTTTCTCAAAGATATTATTGCCACAATATGCCACATACAGAAGTTTGTCAGCCCCAATTAATAAAAGTAAGGGATGACAAAATCATTCATTCTCAGCATCTACGGTCCAGTTGCGGATCCAGGATTTTGAAAAAGGGGGCCCAATAGAAAGCCAGCGTTTAGAGTGATACTCGTAAAAAACCTATGAATTTGTCATATATGAAGCTCCATAAGGGGGCCCCGGGCCCTTGCCTCCCTAAATCCGCCTCTGCAATCCGGCTGTACCATACAAATGAGTTAAATCTTACCATCATCCGCCAGTCCTCCACATAGTACAAATGCAAGAATAAGCAAGATGTTCAAGTACACCATTCTTTTCAAATTAAAAAGTAAAATACAGTTTGTTAAATACTTGTTCAGGAAGCTTATAATCACAGGATGTGTCTTGTCCATGTTGTTATTCCTTTTATTTGCGCATTTATAATTTATTTATACAAAATCGTAGTAATTGTTAAGTTTTTATATAATGACCGCATACTGAAAAGATGTGTCGATATTTTAAGACAATGACTGTATATGATGTGAAAAATCATTCTAAAAAATAGTGTCCATGCCTTTACCTTATGAAAGCATTGATTGCGTGCGGCACTTAAGATTTGTTTTCGGTTTTTGCGGTTGGTAAAATGAAGACGGTGTTGTAACCACGACAATTGGAACATATCTTTAATCATCTGTGACGCAGATATTCTATAACCGGTCAACCGAATCATCATGATGTTCGGTACATTTTCGAAGGGACGTCTTCAACTTTCTTATTTGAAACCTTTGGTTCAAAAGGAAAGAGAAAAGAAGATATATACGTGAGAGAAGGAAAGAGAAGAGAAGATATATACGTGAGAGACGAACAGAGGAAAAGAATTGAATAAAAGAGAGGAGAAGAGCAGACATGCAAAAATAGATAGAAGCGTTTGTCGCTTAGTCTCTTATATATTTCAATAAATGAATTATTGCATCATTCCTATTCTTTTTCAGTTTCAAAGGCACCATTATTGCTATACACCTATGAAAATTCCTAAATTCCTACATTTTATCGATACCAATATTTTGGCATTGCACAAGATAATGTTTTGTTTTGATCGTTTTAAAATGACGTCTTTACACTAAATCCATTGGATGTTAGATGTGTACTGGTTGATACTTTAATCTTGTATATCAGTTATTGGCTTTGAACTAGGCTTCAGTAAATGCGAGAGATCTGTATTTTGTGTCTTAAGTGTTTTTGTGAGTTGTTTTTGTGCTTTGAATCGATCTGATGAGTTGAGCCCTTTTCAACTAATTTTTGTAACGCCTTAGATGAAATTCGCAGTATGTGAGACAAAGGGATTACTATCCGGCGGCGATGTAAAGTATTTGTATAAAAATGTATATTTCAGAAGGTAGAAATCCTGAATGCTTCATACCTTGTGATATTATGCAGATACCTTATGTTACGAAGTTTCCGTCTGTCATCATGTTCATTGTCCTTGACCTCATTTTCATCGTTCAGCGACTGCTTATTCTTTTTTAAAAATTTGTCACTTATTATGAGTAATAGGATAACTATATTTGGTAAATGAGTTCCTTGTGACGTCTACATGTCCGTCAGAAAGGGTTCACAGGACATCGACCTCATTTGATGGATCAGTGATCAAGTTTAACGTCACGTGATTAGGTCCGTTTCTCAGATTATATGAGAGGGGCCTCGGTGGCCGAGTGGTCTAAGTGGTCGAACTACTGTATCACTAGCCTGTTAACACTGAGGTTGTGAGTTCGAATCCCGCACTGGAAGGTGCACTCGATTCCAATTTTAATCGACTAGGATTATAAGTTTTCCTACGGAAGGTCGGTGGTTCTCTCCGGGCACTCCGGCTTCCTCCACCAATATAAACTGACCGCCACGAAATAGCCTAAAAGTGTTGAAAGTGGCGTTAAAACACCAATCAATCAACCAATAAATCAGATACTATAAGCAGTAAGTCAACTATATGTGGTGTATGGAATGGTTGTAAGGGATACATGTCTGTCTAGCTGGTATCATCTGACCTTGACCTCATTTTCATGGTTCATTGGTATATGTTAAGATTTTGTTATTTGGTCTGTCTGGTTTTACAAATACTTTGAGCAATAGGTCAACTATATTTGATGTATGGAATGATTGTAAGGTGTGCATGTTTGTCTGGTTGGTACCATCTGACCTTGACCTCATTTTCATAGTTATTGGTCAATGTTAAGTTTTTATGTTTTGGTCTGTTTTTCAAGTACTATTAGTAACAGGTCAACTATATTTGGTATATGAAATGATTTCAAGGTGTACATTTCTGTTGGCAGGTTTCATATGACCTTGACCTCATTTTCATGGTTTATTAGTCAATGAAAGGTTTTTGTGGTTATATCAAATTATCAGCTACTTTTCACAATAGATCAACTATATTTGGTGTACGGAATGATTGTAAGGTGTACATGTCTGTCTGGTAAGGTTCATATTACCTTGACATCGTTTTCATGAATCATTGATAATGTAAAGTTTATGTGATACTTGTAGTAAAACCTTTATATTACAGTCTTTCAACATAAATTTAATCATAAGTAAAACAGGCGAGACATTGCAGCATGTGCACTCTTATTATATATGTTCATATGTTGTGTTGTTACACCACTGGCCTAAGTTAGGGGGAGTGTTGGGCGACCGCAACATGTTTAACCCCGCCCCTTTCTATATTTGTCTGTCCAGAGTCAGGAGCCTGTAATTCAGTGGTTGTAGTTTCTTGCTGAATATTTTTTTTGTTTTGTTTTGTTTATTGTTTTGTTCATAAATCTAGCCGTTAGTTTTCTCGTTTTGAATTGTTTGACATTTATCATTTCGGGGCCTTTTATAGCTTGTGTGCGGTATGGGTTTTGCTAATTGTTGAAGGCCGTACGGTGACATATAGTTGCTAACTTTTATGTCATTTGTCTCACTGAAAATCATTCCACATCTTCTCATTTTTTTACTATTCTCATTTTGCATATGGTGTTTCTCATCCGAAAATTGTTTATCGACTATAAAGGCAGGTTTCATTAGTTTGAAATAATTGTCTTACTTATCACTTGTTCTGTTTATTCGCTTGATATAATCCAAAATGTAGTAAACCTTTCACAATTTTTGGTTGAACGACTGAATAAAAAATCCTAGCCAAAAAACGAAAAACGACAAAAAGACAAGCAACAATACACGAAACACAACATAAAAACCAAAGACTGAGCAACACAAACCCAATCAAAAATCAAGGTGATATCCGGTGCTCCGGAATGTTATCATGCCTCACATGTGACACCCGTTAAGAATCAAAGCATTCTTTTGTTACAAAATAAGCATCGGAAATTAAGTCATATTCCGTTTTATCTTCTCTAAACATCCTATATTTATACTGTAGAATATAGTTTTTTTTTCAGGTCACGATGAACCGCCTCAACAGCCCCATGTAGCGTTCTAGTAGCGAATGGGTAAATCCAAAGACTTTAAAATTGGTAGAGATATAAGTCAGTATAATTAGTCTTGACGAAGTTGTTTGACTTGTGGATTACTACATTTAGAACTATCAAGTTTATAATCGGACTGAGTTGTCGTTCACGCGTCCACGACCACTTTGTGTTTTTGTTAGATGTATTTCTATATGATCCATCTGATGAGTTCAGCCTTTTTCAACTGATTATTTATAGTTTGTTCTTATGTTGTACTGTCACCTCACTGTCCCAGGTTAGGGGGAGGGTTGAGCGCTCACAAACATGTTTAACCCCGCCACATTATGTGTCTGTCACAAGTCAGGAGCCTGTAGTTCAGTTGTTGTCGTTGATTCATGTCATATTTGTACATCGTAAACTCTTATGTTATAAATTAGGCCGTTAGTTTTCTCATTTGAATGGTTTCATGTTTCATGTCGGGACCTTTTATAGCCGACCACACGGTATGGGTTTTTCTCATTGTTGAAGGCCGTACGGTTGCCTATAATTGCTTACATCCACTTCATATGAACCTTGGTGGATAGTTGTCTTATTGGCAATCATACCACATCTCCTTATTTCTATACTGGTACTAAAAAAGGTCATCAAAGAAAATTACACACAGTCAAAACATATCTCTTGTCTACAGTTAATTCATATAGGAAAAATTATGCATTATTGTCGATCTTACAACTTTCCTTTTAACCTTTATATTTTTTTATCATGAATGCAAGACATTTATTGATTTATCCAGGTTCGATTAATTAGAGATTGGACAATATGACTTATTCCAAAAATGTTCACATCTCACACTTTTGTCATTAACAAATAAATCAACAAACATTCGGATCCATCCGTGGATTTCGGATCGGGATACCTCGTGTGATAGAGAAATGATAAAATTGTTTTAGTAGAAGTTTTGCGCATATACAATAAACATCTGACAAAAGAATGCCATAACTAGAATGACTACACTTGGGAACATTTCATTCTGTCCATTTGGTGATGGTCCCTGTATGCAGATTTGGCCATCAATTCCTTTAAATGCTCCCAATCCAATACCATGTCTTACTAAATCCGTCACTCTTGCTAAAAATGCATCCAAAAAACCTGACCTATCGCTTCCAACATTGGTTATGATAACATTATTGCAGGTTATTAGACCACTCACTGAACAGTATTGAAACTTCACGGTAATATTCTGAGTGACTGCAAAGGAAATTTTTATGTTATATTAAAAAAACTGATTAACAATCACCTGTAGTTTGAATATAAATATTATTACCATGCTTTCCTAGATATAAAAGAAATCAACCCAAAACAGTCCTTCAGGATGGTGAGCCATTGTTTCAATTGATTAAAGAAAAAAACAGACATGTTCATCAACTTTTTTGTGAGTAAACTTCAACATTTTAGTATACTATAACACAACTTTCAATTTTTCGCATTTTAATCTCCTTTCCCTTATAGAACTCCCGTTTCTATAATAGTTTGAATTCAGGATACAAAGTATGAAGATACCTTTGCAGATTTTTTTATAAGTTTGTTCATTTTTTTTCTCCAAAACATGAAGATTTTCTTATCAAAATACTGAAAACCCTTTTTAAAATGGTGTCTATCACTAGTCATTCCATAAACAGTATTGTGTTGTGACCCTCTTCGACAGAAATGGTACTTTCGAATGCCCAACTATCTGTAATACTTTTACCACTAAAACTACTACTGTTTCGACTTCTACATTTACAACTTATAGAACAGCTACTGCAAGATACTGTTTCTACTACTAAAACTTGTCTGTTTTTGTTTTGACCCGGTCCAATGTTTTAGAGAAGAATATCGAGTTACCCTTGTGTGGGTTCTTGGCCTAATGGTTAATACCGATGGCTGCATCCGGAGCTGAAGGTAAGGGGTTCAATCCTCACTCGGGGCGCTGGCAATTTCAATGCATTAGATTTTCACCCTCTCACACACATCTCTGGTACCCAGACCAAAGTCTAAACTAGAATGAGTACTTTTGGGGGCCTCAGTTGGGACCAATTTCAAAATATCTCTTCGGTTTGTCGGTTTCCGCCGAGGAGTGCGGTGGTTTTCTCCGAGGACTTCGGCTTCTTCCACCGTATTAACAGACTTCCCGGTGTCCAACACTTCCTTGGTGTCGGGTTGGAGATTTTTAATGGTGGTTGGTTGTAGTTTATTGACACATCTCCATTAACTCATTGGGGATTCTTCTGCATCCTCCCTGCTCTCTATGTGTGCTTCGAATAGCTTCGAATAACGGAGGAATTAACGTACTTCAAACATACCCCATAATAAAAATTTACGAAAAAATGGTAACCATTTTGGACAATATGCCCGCTGCTCTTCATCATTCTAAGGCAATATTTATTGAACATTTTTTTCATCTTTCATTATATTAATCAGGAGTTCTGGTATGATTGCCAATGATACAACTATCCACATGACGCGTCGCCAGTAATTCTTCATTACATTGGCGACCGTCAAATCCCAATCTAATTAAAATATAGATCTCGGATTTCGTTATACTACGTTATACTACCTCGTATGTAGTATAACGTAGTATAACGAAATCCGAGATCTATATTTTAATTAGATTGGTCAAATCCCTAATTGACGGTGGCGACTCTTTAACTAGAATAATGCTATTACATTGTACTTAATTCAAATAATTTAGAAAAAGAAATTAACGAACTTTTTATGCAGATTTTAGCTGCTATGATTTTAAGTTAACGGTTTCAACAAATCTAAAAATAAATAGAATAAGATTAATAACAAATAAAATATGTTATTGATATCAATTCTAAGTGTATTAAGGTAGATCCCAACAGATATGAATTTTTGTTTATCATTGAATTCTTAAAAAAAATGCATACTATACTTTGCAATGACTTTGCAATGGCCTCTATAAACATTTGAGTCACAAACATGTCACCAGATTCGTTTACATTAACGCATAAAAATCACTACATTTGCGTGCAGCATTTTATTACATTTACGCGCATTAATTTTACAAGTAAACACAAAAATGTTTTAAAAAATGTCGTAATAAAACAGTTTTATTAACAATTTTTTGATATTTTTAATATGATAGAATAATCTGTTATATCAAAATGTGTGTGTTATTTACATTTCGGTCTAAATACTTATGAAAAAAAAAACAGCTTTCGAAAAATAACAATGATTCCTTCCCTCTCCTAATATTTCATAACCGCTCAATTCTTTTCTCACTTCTGCGTAAAACACACACACACACACACACACACACACACACACACACACACACCTTTTAGATTGACATATGCGGGTTTTATTTTCTGGGGTTAAAAATAATGTTTCTGTCTACACACCATGCAAATATCATATTGACCGAAATTTGTTTCAGATCTGATAAACGACACTCCATGGAAAATATTCATGGAATTTGTAAACAAGCGTATTTCTTTCATAAAGAAAGATTACCTCTTATAAAAGATTTACTGTTACACTTAAAGGATACAACCACAGAGATATAGTACAAATGATTATATGTCTCTGATACAACCGATCAAATGATCGGAATGATGTTTTTTTTTAACCTAAAATATGACAATATTAAAAACTTTTTTTTTTAAAGTAAAATAAATTTCTATATATAAATCTGATTAATCTACATACACCTGTATTATCTGTAAAATAAAAATGTGCAAATGCAATTAATTATTGCGCGCAATCGTAAAATCAATCAAGTTATCCCTTAATGCGCGCTAATGTAATGCGCCCATTACTGAAATAACCTCTTTACTAACCTCGTTCTTTTTTCAAGAGGACGATCCCATTGAATTCTCCGCATCCCAAGGCTGTACCATTACACGGTGTCGGTTGTGCTGAAGGACATGTTTCCAAAAGATTAGTTGTATTCCCCGATGCTGTATTATTGTTTAAATCAGCACACTGTTTACATTGTATATCTAAAATTTGAAAAAAACCCGGGGTATATGAGAATTTGACATATTCCATTATTTGCATGATACAATGAATAGACTATTTTCATATTACCGACTTTTGACTCCGGATTATATAATTTGTCGACTGGTTACCTTGGACATCATGGTACTCGGTCAAGTAAGAGCAACCAAAATAAGTAAAATCAAACATATAATCGGTGTAATTTGAGGGGAAAGTTTACTGTTTTCCGATGATTTTGTAGTGAAAAAAAAATGATAGGCAGGTAATTTTCCTCCAAAATTGTACCGATTGAACGCTTGGTTTAACTTCTTTAGCTTGCTCTTACCTGACTTGGTACCATGATGTCCAAGGTAACCAGTCGACAAATTATATAATCCGGAGTCAAAAGTCGGTAATATGAAAATAGTCTATTTAATTTCTGTTTTTGTTATTGTTTTCTTTATGAATCAAAGTAATGATTTTGTACATCTCTTGTCTGAAAGCAACCATGTACATGTAAGAGGTTAATGAAAAATGCATGGCTTGCTTTGCCTTCCGATGAAATTGAAGGACTTCCTCTTTTAAATCACACTAGTGATTATTTTTCATTGTGTTACCGGAAACAGATACTCTATGCATTCCATTGTCACTCTTGTTCATTTCATACAAGAGTTTATAAATCTTATAATTATCTATAATATGGTACTATACATGTAGAAAGTATTTCAAAGAATGCATATATTTTTTTTTAAATCGCTTAAGAAAAAATGCTTTAAAACAAAGGAAATCATGATAGCAAAGACAACATTTATAATAATATTCTTATTTATGTATGATATACAACATTTATAATAATATTCTTATTTATGTATGATATACAATTTTTTAAATTTGTACTAATTTTTGCATAAACTATATAAAATGTACTATTCTCCGTAACGTGTTACATACGGTAGTTTGTCAGCCCCAAACAATAACTAAAGGATGACAAAATAAAGTTGTCATACACCAGGCTGTATCTTACCGTCTTCCGCCAGTACACCACATTGCACACATGCAAGAATACTCAATATTATGTAGTACACCATTCTCTTCAAATTAAAAAGTAAAATACAGTTTGTTAAATACTTGTACAGGAAGCTTATAATCACAGGATATGTCTTGTCAATATTGTTCCTCCTTTTATTTTTGCATTTACACTTCATTTATACAAACTCGTAGTAATTGTTAAATTTTTCTAATTATAATGACCGCATACTGAAAAGATGTGTCGATATGTTAAGACAACGAATGAATATATATGCATATATATATATATGATGTGAAAAATCATTCTAAAAAATAGTGTCCATGTCTTTATCTTATGAAGGCATAGATTGAGTGAGACACTAGCTTAAGATTTGTTTTCGGTTTTTGCGGTTGGTAATCCTTTATAAATAGGTATTGATCATGAATTTCATAGTCCTGAAATAATTTTTGTCCTTTTCAAGCTTATATTTTTGTAAAGCACATGTCAACATGTATTACTAGACTAGGAAAGAGAAGATAAGGAGGACTGAAGTTAATATAAAAGAAGAGAAAGAAAAGGAAAACGGAACAGGATGAAATAGGGAAAAAAGAGGCAAAAAATACCAAAACACGGCGAAAAACCATTAATCGAAAAAAAAACAGACAACCGCCTTGATCCACGAGAAAAACAGACAACCGCCTTGATCCACGAGAAAAACAGACAACCGCCTTGATCCACGAGAAAAACAGACAACCGGCTTGATCCACGAGAAAAACAGACAACCGCCTCGATCCACGAGAAAAACAGACAACCGCCTTGATCCACGGGAAAAACAGACAATCGCCTTGATCCACGAGAAAAACAGACAACCGACTTGATTTTCGAGAAAAACAGACAACCGCCTTGATCCACGAGAAAAACAGACAACCGGCTTGATCCACGAGAAAAACAGACAACCGCCTTGATCCACGAGAAAAACAGACAACCGCCTAGATCCACGAGAAAACAGACAACCGCCTTGATCCACGAGAAAACAGACAACCGCCTTGATCCACGAGAAAACAGACAACCGCCTTGGTCCACGAGAAAAAAGAGACAACCGCCTTGATCCACGGGAAAACTGACGACGAAAGGACAAACAACAGTCTACAAAACACCATACAAATAAAAAGCCTGAGCAAGATAAATCTACCAAATACCGTGAGGGATCTTTGGTGCTCCGAAAGGGTAAGCATATCCTGCTCCGCTAGTCTAACCCGTCGTTTTCTTCTTTGCAATAAGAGATAAGTCGAATTCGGTGAGGTCAAAATCGAAGAAAAGAAGATTATGTTCGGTCATCTGTGACGCAGATATTCTACAACGGTCTTTTTATTTGTCTTTGTATAATCTTAACTTTTACTGTTTATTCCATTTTTGTTAATATCCTTTTGGCGTGGCTCGGTATTTATACATCCCGCCATTGTGTTATTGTGCTATGGTTTTTTTTTGTATTCTTGTCTTTCATTTTTGCTTAAAATGTGCTTTGTCTATAGAGTGTCTTCATGCAATTTTGTTTTTCTTTTTTGACATAGTTGTTTGTTTTTATAGTGATTAAGATAATAACACAATGTTGACTGCTGTACCCCAATCTTTGACATGTTTACCTATTATGAATGTTTGTTTTGTTCACATATTGTTGTCAATATAATGGAATTTTATGCGACTGTCATACAAGTGAGAGGTTTAGCTAGCTAAATCTGTATATATATATACAGTAGAATATCTTTTTTTCATGTCACGATGAACTGCCTCAATAGCTTCATGTAGCGCCCTTTTATCATGGCTTGTAGACAACTACATTGAGAATTAACAAGTTTAAAATCCGACTCAGTTAGTCGTCTTGGTACAAGAAAGTCACCAAAGATACCAGGCTTTCAAGACTTATTCTTCAGAACGCAAGACTTGCTCTTCTTCTACGTAAGACACATCACTGGCGCTTAAATCAATACAGCGGGAATGTAAAATGATTAAGAACGAATTCAATTAGCATTAAAAATTAAAAACTCCGAAAAGAATGCCAAGTTTGACTATGATCATTGGTATTTAGGGTAGAAAAACTTCAGTGAAATGAATTATATTAATATTCTATTAACCGTTAAATAACAAAAAAAAAAAAAAAAAACGATTGCTATAATATAACATAACCGCATAGGAGTCCTGTCTGCTTGGCTGGTGATATTCTCGAGTACCAGGCTTATAATTTAGTTGAAAGTCGAGAAGTGATTATACTGATTCACATTTACATGTTTTATAATACATGTAGTAAGTGCACCGCGACATTTAACATTCTTCCGACAATTTAATCATGTCACTTGATACACTTAAAACGCCTTTTTATACACTTAAACATTTTTTTAATACTTGTAGTTACGCTGATGCCATGATAGTTTAGATACACTTCTAAATTATTATTATTATTATTATTATTATTATTATTATTATTATTATTATTATTATTTATAGGTTTCATAACGAGTGAGAATTGGATATCGCTTGATTTTAACTTGAGTTACTTAATTTCAATATAATAAACGAGCCTCGGCGAGTTTATTATTACTATTTAAATTAAATAACGAGAGTTTATATCAAGCGATATCCAATTCTCAAGAGTTGTTAAACCTATTTCTCTTATGGTCAACACTCTCATTGTGTTAAATTAAAAATACCGCGAATCGTTAGTCTAGTCTTTTGCACATACCCGTATGACGTCATATGTCCTGTTCCGGAGTCAAATTTTAACATCAGACATTTTAAAACTTTTTGTACGCTTCAGATTTTAATAAAATTTGACAATAAGAAGATTTTCAGATAAAAAGTGTGAGTGTTTTGTATATTTTTGAAGAAATCACATATGTCCGTTGCCATGGACGAAATGTACATCGTCTTAACCTTTGAAAGTCGTCAATGATCTAACGAATAGCCAATGGAAATGTAAAATTAACGCAGTTCTCGGGGGGGGGGGGGGGGGGGGGGGGGGACGGGGAGGGGGCACTTCCTTTATACAAGGTGTTAGGACGTGCCGCTGGAAATTCCGAATAGGTCACCTTTTCAAGCTTGAAAATATGTGAATAGGTCGGGTATCAGAAATATATGATAAGGTCAATAAAGTTCCCATAACTTCTTCGTCTGTCATCTTTCTTTGTGTTCCCGGCTGTGTTTTTATCAACCAATTTTCTCTCTTTCGACACTTTGGTATTCCACTCTTACATTACACACCACATCGGCCCATGAAACCCAAACAATATGAGAAAAGATTACATTTTTAAAATCTAAATTATATGAAAAGGGTGGCGTAACAGAAACCCAGCGGCACCCCCTATCAATTAAGTATTGAAGTGGAGTGGAGTGTGATACGAGACGAGAAATATCTTTTCACGCAAGACATAGATAACAGTCCACAACCATAAGAGAATATTATTTTTATTATTATTATAATTATTATTAAGAAATTATTTTAGACTTTTACTGAAATAAATACTCGTAGAAAATAGTATTAAATATTTACACATATTGAGACAATATTTACATGTGAGCACTGTATAATTATGAACAGTTTTTTTTCAGTGAATCTGTCAATGTTACGGTTGTTCAGTATGATACATTTGTTTAGTTCGACATCCCTGAAATATCGTGAATAAATTAACCAAAGCCTTCCAAAGATCCATCTTCAATACCGAAAAGTACTAAAAACAAAACAAGAAATAATGTGATATAACTTAAACAACCGCTGACAAGAGTTTTGATTTGGGATAGACTCATAGTCATATGACGGGGTTAAGTCTAGTCTAGTTTTAGACTTTTTCTTTCACCAATTATAGAAATATCAAAGGTACATAGATTGTTAAAGATCGATTAACAAAATCAAGATATTAAGCTAGAATTCTTTAAAGTTACTTTACCTGCTTACCTTTCCTTAACACCTGAGATCACCCCCACTTTATGGCGGGATTCGTGTTAGTCAAGTTTTTAAATTTCTATGTTGTGTTTTGTGTTCAGTTGTTTGTCTTTTCTTCGTTTTTCTTTTTTTGCCATGGCATTGTCAGTGTGTTTTCGACTTATGAGTTTGGATGTCCCTATGGTATTTTTTTGCCTCTCTTTTATATTACAGACGACAGAGTTGACAAATCAAATCGTAAAAAGGGTTCCCCGGAATCCGGATGTTACTCCCCTGCGATTGCTATACTTATAATGTAAAAGTGTAATGTTGACTGCCAAAAACTAAGTCCATTTATCAGTAATATACCGGAAAATAAAAACAAATGAATTTGTTTTCTTTTAATTGCTATTTATTGACCATGAAAAAGCAAATGTCAAAGTTTCGTAACATTCCATGAAGGCTTACCAAAGTTATCGATGTCTTAAAAGTGTAGTCTCTAACTATATGTAAATGATAACTGCAAAACACTAATTTCACCGACGACGACGGAATATAGGTTACTATGTCTCGTTTTCGCAAATTTCGTCGCAGATTCCTCAAAAACACAATTACAAGTAAAATACTCAGTAGCGGATCCCGGGGGAGGGGGTAGAGGGCGGTCACTCCCTCCTTTTGGTCGCCAAAAAAGTTTTATATCATGTTTTTCACGATTTATATGATTTTTTAGCATAAAATCTTTTTTTTTCGCCTCGCTTTGAACACTCGGTTGAATATAATCAGTTTCATGGAATTTCAAAAATCCTGGATCCGCCCCTGATACTTAATATTTCTTATCAAAGAATGCATTCTGTTTCTTAAATCAAACTCAAAGAACTTATCTGCTGATGTAGAGAACATAACGCATGCAGTCATACACTCTAATACCGTGTGGGCTATAGGTGACCTTGCTATTTAAAAAAAATATCTAAAACATACAAATATTTATCAGTCTGATTGTTTCAGTGAAGTAGATTTTGGTAGTAGACAATTATATGTCTTAACGAGGAAATAAATGTAAATTCGGGTGTCTTCCCAAGTGGAGAAACCTGAACAAGTATACAACTAGCATATATAATTCATTGGAAACAAACTAATATAATATGATATCTTAAAATACTTTAATGCTAGTGAATTCATCAATATTATCTTGCTAAAATCTAACTGTGATTTGCTTATAAATTGTTGCAAACATCAGACAAAATTATCGAATAAAGGAATAGGTTAATAAAATGTCAATGGTCTAAAGTATTTCATACAATTATCCAAGTAAGTATGAAAGATAGTGTAAAGAAGATAACATTGGGAATTAGCTTGCTATTTCCATTGAGTGCCGAGAGTCCCTGCACACATATTTGTCCAGCTACCTCCTGTGGTTGTCCTAATAGGATTCCTTTACGTCTAAGAGCTGGCAATCTTCCTATGAGTGCTTGCTGGATTCCAGATGGCTCATTTGTCAAGTCGTTAATATTTGAAACATTGTAGCAAGAACTTCGGGAATCTAATGCACAATAGCGGAATCTTACAGTGGCACTGTCTGTTGCTAGAAAAACAAAACAAAAACACATAAGAGGTTGTCTATACTCTTGAAATATAATATTATACTGCAGACTTTATACATATAATGATGTTATTAATATATTTATAATCATTGTGCTTTATCAAACGAGACTGTTTCAGACTTACTTTTATATTTTCATCAATAACAAGATATTTTAAGTATTCAATAATCTGTTTAGTAAAATGACCTTATGAAGTACTTAAGCTGAACGTGTCGTATACCACCTACTTCAGTTATCATCATGGTTAAGTTTTACATCCGAGGGTCATATTTTGATACAATACATGTACAGTGTCGAAAATGAAAAGGTTTGTAAGAGTTTTAAAAACAGGAAGAAAAGCACGTCGAGGCTTACTCCTGTTTCGAAGACCTGTACTATAATCAGATTATATTGTTTTCCACCAATATAACTATATTTGTTTATGTTACAAGTTAACACATAATAAAGCTATAACTTTGATATTACCGGTTGACGAAAATGAAGCAGTATACCGGAAGCTATTCTTTATACACTTTTTATACCGTAGCCTTTGGTGGCTAACTATGCCGTTATAGTTTTTGGGACAACACCAACATGGATGTTCATGCTTCTTTAGATGTCATTTTCAGCATAATATGTTCTGTGCATAAACGTGTAGAAGCTTGCTAACTAATAATTAACTGTTATTTTTCTTAACGCACATTAAGCTCATGAAAACTACTAAGGTGTTTAAAATTCTAAAATACTGTGTCCTATTTTTTACGGGGCAATGGACTACAAATACGTGAAACAATTTCTAACTTTACCGCGGTTCTTCGTTCTCACACCTGGTATGGCTTATAATGAGGGTAAATATACAAAGGGATAATCAAAATCAAATAGTCGAATAGAAAGCAGCTAAACCAGGAAAAAATAGACGAAAAACAACAGTCCATATAACATTAGTACTACTTGGAATTCAATAGACTGAGCGACACGAACCCCACCCAAAAAAGCCGGGGTGATCTCAGCCTTAAACATTACACAATAACTTATTATGAATGATGATATATATAATAATATAATTAGTTGCTAGACTGGTAGTTGCTAGCTAAGAACATTTGTATAATTCTATTCATATGACAGCACGTGCATACTTTGATTATATATTTGATTAATTTATTAACCTTGGCTTGTCCCAAAAGCGACAATTCCTTTGAAATCAGCACATCCTTTGGTTGAACTATCACATGAAGTTAATGGTACTGTGGTAGAGCATTCCGACAAAACTTTTCTAGACTGCAATGTTATATCAGTGCATTGTATGCATCGCATCTCTGTTTGTGTTATACAAAAGATGAAAAGTATAATAGTATTATACATTTTTTAAGAAGAAGATATGTAATTTAAACAACAACTCACGATTTCGAAAAAAATACAAAATTCACAAGAAGACTCTTGAACTTGTATCATACTACATGCATTTATACTTTGATTAATTAGATACAGAATGGAGACACATCTTGAGTCTGTCTTAATCTTTAAATAAAGGTATTATTGTTATAAGTGTATATGCAAATTTTTAAGATCGATCGATCGAGAGAGAGATTTCAAATCAACGTCTTAATCCTAAGTAAAGGTATTATTCTTATAAATGTATATATGGAAATTTTCAAGAGAGAGAGAGAGAGAGATTTCAAATCAACGTCTGAATCCTAAGTAAAGGTTTTATTCTTATAAATGTATATATGGAAATTTTCGAGAGAGAGAGATATTTAAAATCAATGTTTTAATCCTAAGTAAAGGTATTATTGTTATAAATGTATATTTGGAAATTTTCAAGAAAGAGAGAGAGATTTAAAATCAACGTCTTAATCCAAGTAAAGATATTATTGTTATAAATGAATACTAGTATATCGAAATTTTAAGAGAGAGAGAGAGAGAGAGAGATTATGTGTAAGTTAAATGAATATTTCAAACTAACGTTAAGCACCTTACCGTAAGCCTGCACTGAACTGTATTTGAAATATCCAATTGAAACAATGAACATGCAGTAAACATTCATTTTGTTTTGTACAATATTCGATATTGATAATTCTCTAATCGAAATTATTGCAGGCTATCAATGTACATGTACATTAAGATCAAGTACACATGTAAGTATATAGGAAACTTGAAAGTAGTGGTTTAAGGTTGTCTTATTCATAGGAAATGTCCTATTCAAATATCGTTACATCTTAACAGTAAAGAATAATCTAGTACTTGAATGACAATCACATGTTCTTCTGTATATTAAACAATGTGTATAGGTGTAATACCACCATTGATTTTCCCCTATTAGTCTTTGTTAAATTTGCACTTTTCAAAAAAATGTGCAGAATTTATCTTTGTTTCAAATAAAGAAATACTTGACATGAGTAAAGTTTTATCCTGTCCAGTACTATAGAAAAAATTTCACATGTTTTCTATTCTTTCTTTTTTGTGCATTTTTCTCTATTTGTTATTTTTTCCACCCTTTATTCTGCACATTTTGCCTCTTTATTCTCTATTCTGAAAACCACATTCAGACCCTCATAGATCTTTGAAAGGCTTTGATTTATAGAATCAAAATTGTCAGGGATTTCTAACTAAACAAACGGTAGTCGTAATATTTGGAGATTCACTAAAAAAAAAATAACCGAACTTGAGCGCAGCAAGTACATTTTCGACTGTTTTCCCTTTCCAGATCTTAAAGTCACAAATAGCATATATCTCACGCACTGAATTATATTGATGTGAAAAAATATGCTAAGAATTTTGCAAAACATGTCAAAACGAAATGACCCACCCAACAGTTTTAGTATAGCTTCAAATAAACTCATCATAGATACCAGGATTGAAATTGTGTACGTCAGACGCACGTTTCGTCTACAAAAGACTCATTAATGACGCTCAAATCATAAAAGGCCAAATGATATAGATAATCATGATAAAGGTAATGCGATGTTTCTTAGCATCAAACCCCGCTACATTATAATAATAGTCACTACAGCATGTCTCAATATGTGTAAAATTGTTTCAGCAGTGGTCTGAAAAGATTCAATGATGATGATTATGATAATAGTAACGTTATTTAGAAGTATATCTAAAATATCAGGACACCTGTATAACTATACTAAACAACAAAAGAAGCGCACCACCTCCGTAGATTTCTTTGGAGTAAAATTTCTATATCATAGAAAAAAACTTTGAAATGAGTCAAAATTTTGACACAATGTTTCTGGAGTCATAAATACAAAAATCCTTGAATTTGAGAATTTTCTTAAATTTCAAACAAACACATTTTCAACCCCCCCCCCCCCCCCCCCCCCAAAAAAAAAAAACCCAATAAAACATGTTGTCAAATTTGTGAAAACTAAAGTCGTGTGTGTCTTCTAAGTTAAACATGAAAACAACGACAAATTTCAGTTTCTTAATAGAATTCTTGTCTGACGAAAAATTCTAAATTGAATGATTTTAGACGTTTGATTTTTTACTTCTGTGGTTGAAAACCCAATTGTTGCCCCAAAAATGAACATTTTGGTTCTTTCTTTTCTGTAAACTTTGCATTTATTTCCAGGTGACGATTTAAATATACTGGATTTCTATAAATTTGTAGCAAAAACAAGAAATTGTGAAACTACTATATATGGTAAGATGTGATATGTTATTTGTTTTTGTTAACTATACCAGCCGTTAAAACAAAGGTTCCGTAAAATTTTCAGTTGCGGAAAGTTTACGGATTGTTAACGGATTTATTCCGCATCTAAATCGCAACGTTTACACCGTATTCACACAGCGTCCGTAAAAGTACCGTAATTTACGGAACGTTTCCGCAATACTTTTGACATCTTAATCTAATTGAATTAATGTTTTGCTAAAAATGTCTTATAATTTTCATATTTCAGTAGTATATATATGTTCCGGACCATATGAGTATTTGGACCATACGCGTATATACCCTTATGGTCCGGGTGTTTAATACGATGGACGTTGCCTTCAGCACGAACCTTCAAGGTGTCATTAATTAAGAGTTTTTAATTGTGACTTATTACATCAAATGACAAAAATTGTTACATGCTTAATGAAATAAAGTTAATTTTACTCAAATTAAAATTTAAGTTAAAGCATTTTTACATGGTCATTTTCGACTTGTCCTTACGAAACACAATATGTGTCGATTTTAACATTGGAATATGACTTCAAAAAATATTTAAATGTACTGTTTAACAAAAAGTCAACTGTTTAACTCACAAGTACTTTGGGCATTGCACCCTCACCGTTTTCCCCTTTATTTTAATGTTTTAATTTGATTTTAGTAAATATTTCTTTAATATCTTAGATTATTTTTAGTTATTTAATGATCTTTAATGTGTTCATGCCCCTGTTTATACAATCACGTAGTTTAGACGTGCTGTCCCTATATGTTTTTATGTATGAACTACTGTTTTTGTAAGTTCGTATGAATAGGAACAAAAAAACATCAATTAAGTGAAAATGGGTAAAATTTAGAAGAATTAAAAACATTAAATTATCTAAATACCGGGGAAAAAAGAAAATAATCCATTTAGAATATATTCGAAAAACACCTATATCGATGGTCCGGAACATATATATATATATATAGTCTATACTGTTGTTTCCTTTGTACTTTTTTCTAAGAAATAACATTTTCATAGTTTTTCAGCCTCTTTATTTCTTATTATGTTGAATATATTGAAACATCACTTCGAAAGTATTAAATATTTTACAGATAAAAAATACTATCTGGCCAAGAGTAATATATAATTTATAACTCTTATTTTAAGAGTCCTTTGTGTGTTGTCTTTATATTTCATTGTCAAATTTCTCCGCGATGTCTAATTTAAAGATGTGATTGTGGCTCAAAATTTAATTTGTCATAAACTATTTGTAATTCGGTAATTTTAAGTCAGATACATGAATTAATTGAGATGTGGGGTGTATGTCAATAATAAAGCAACCCAACAATAAAAATAACCTTAAGACATGTAGAGTGCAGTATACAGCCTACAACAGTAGTCAGTTATCTGTACAATATTGCAAGCTCTTAATTTGCAACATACCTTAAAGGGGCATTAGCTGTCAAATTCATGTTCGCTGATTTGACTCAAATTCTCATATATGAGTTATAACATACTAAAACGTATATCCAAATTATAAACAGTCTAAAATAAACAATTTACAATGCATTGGCTTGATAATATGTATCAGCATTTCGTGTGTATTATAGTCTAGACGCCATCTAATTATCTATCGAGGTGACCTCCGAAGACTGCCGACGGTCATATAACCCGATATAAATATAAATATAGATATAAAAAGATAGCGAACTCTTGCAATTGGATTTTTATAGGTCTGTTTGATTTCATATTATAGGTTAAAAATATATGTTAATCATCGTTTTTACCTGTATAAGAATGAGTTATAGGGGATAGAATCAGTCAATCAAATGGTTTACCCTTGTTTCACTTTCAATGTTGACATTCTTTTCCTTTTAATAACTGAACACGACTAATTCATGCGTAATCAATCTCTACATAAGGGGTTAAATTAAAGGCCACATAAATACGGATTGAATGAGGTCGAATTTACATTTGCAAGTGAATAATTTATCGTCAATGTTTCTTAGCTTATTTTGACAAAATTGAACCAAATTGGCTGCTAAAAACGAATTATTATTTCACTATTTCACATTCATCAATGATTGAACAAAAACAAATCATATTTTAATTTTTGTATATCTCGTAGCTAATGCCCCTTTAGAATAACATCAAAGTGATATCACAATATAAAATTTTATACTTGTTATTTTAAATTTAAGAAATGCGTTCGCTCCCGTCTTTTCTTCCGTATGCAGGTTGCGCATTTGGAAATGTCAAACTCTTAGCATATCCTTGTGATCAGTTGGTGATTTGATACAAAGCAAAGTTTCCTGCCAATCCTCATGGTCCAACCACGTTTCAGAACTTATATTTTTTACTCATAATTATTGAACTATTTTATAATTGGCGATTGTCCTAAGTATGCGTGAAACATATTCCGCCGAAAGTCAACCATAAAACATTTATGATATGTTATTTATTATAAAGAACTAATCACACGATTGATTGGAGAACTGTTGATGTACCACCAAAAATAGTGAAATGATAGGATTGATTGATTAATTGTTAGTGTTAAACGCAACTTTCAGTTCTCTTTGCTACATCGTCGCGGATATTTCTTATCGGTGGAGAAAGCCGCAGTTCCATGAGAGAACAACCGACTTTCGGCAGGAAAATTGGTAATCTCAGAGTAGAACGTACCTGTCCCATGCGGGGTTCGAACTCATAGTTTTGACAGGCTTATGATACTGTAGATGAACGACTTAAACTACTCTGCCACCGAGGCTCATGAAATGATAGGATTGAATAAGAATAGATAAAGATCTGTATTGCTGTTTCCCATCATGGCACTTGCTTGAAAGTATTCAATGATGAAATAAATATCTGACATCAGAGTCATGAATGTCTCCTACGGAAGCCAGTTAGTGTCAGGGTGTAGTTTTATTTTTAAGTCGTTATAACGACTTAGCTAACTTGTTATAACGAATTAGCTAACTCGTTGTAACGCGTTAGCTTACATAACTTGTTATAACGACTTAGTCACTCGTTATAACAACTTGGCTAACTCGTTAAAACGACTTAGCTTACTTGTTATAACGACATAGCTAACTCTTTATAAGGACTTAGCTTACATAACTTGTTACAACGACTTAGTAACTCGTTATAACAACTTAGCTTAATCGTTAAAACGACTTAATATCTTAAAATTTTAGCACTATATTACAATTTCTGAATTTAAGCATACCAAACAATGTTCCGATGGACTTGTCTGAATTTTCAATATCGTAAAAAATCAATGGATGTCTATGCATGTTAATCTTTTTTGTGTTATTTTTCTAATTTTCTCCATATTCTTTAAAAAATAGTGAAATATAAAGTTTGGCTCCTTCCTCCTCTCCTTGTTAACATGTAACCACCCCCTTGTTAAAAGTTCCTTGTTCCATTACTGATAAAACTAAGCGTTTAAAAAAATTTGGCTTCTGTGATTTACCTCTTCCGATTGAACAATTCATCAAGAAAATTAAACAATTTAGATTTATGAATGAATA